ATATACAGTCAATACACTTTACAGTGTGTTCTGTAAAGCGCTTTGGGACGTCCTCCCGACGTGAAAAGCGCTATATCAAATGCAAGGATTATTATTATTATTATTTACAGTGTGTTCTGTGAAGCGCTTTGGGACGTCCTCCCGACGTGAAAAGTGCTATATCAAATGCAAGGATTATTATTATTATTATTATTATACTCTTAAGCAGAGCAATAGATTGTCACATGTGTCATACACTCGCCTCACCAAGAAAAGAGTAAAACTAAACTATGCAGACCAGGAAGTTCCAATATTCATTTGCAAATCGATGTTGAATTAGATGATCTCAACCCTAAGGTGGTAGCAGCAGTGATTTATTGGCTTCAGCACTCATGGGCTAGGAAGGGGAAAAATATGTGAGGCTTTTCCTTCCATACTACTATCTAGTAACACCTGATGAAAGGTAGATGTTTGGATATCAGTTGGAGGAGGAATTAGTTCAGTTGTTATGCTTCCATCGTCAAAGTGACAAAAATGTTTAATGTTTTAACAAAGAAGCCCTGAAGGTCTCCCACAATCCTAATGACAAACATCACACAGGAATCAATGATCAGTACAATTAGTTCTCTCTCCTTCCAACACATTTACTTAATTGAGGCATCTTTCCTTCACTGGACAGATCTCGTAGACTTCCTCAAATTGTGTGCAATTCTTGGCTGTTTGTGGGACATTGTTGCTACATCTATAATAATAATAATCATTACATTTGATGTAGCACCTTTTATGTCAGGAGGTCATCTCAATGTGCTTCATAGAATTGCTGTAAAGTGTAACGGCTGTGTATTTTCTGGATAATTGAGACTGCTAATTTGACTATGGCATTGTCCTACAGAAGCCATAAAGCAAATGGTCAATTTATATTTGGGGAATTGATGGCCACGACACCAGAAGAATACAGAATAACTACACATATAGTATTTACTCGTAAAGCATTTTGAGATGATTCGACATAATAATAATAATAATAATAATAATAATAATAATCCTTGCATTTGGAATGCACTGTTCACAGCAGGAGGATGTCCCAAAGCACCTCGCAGAATATACTAAAATTGAGTGACTTTTTGCGGGGGCAAAACACAGCAGTCAATTTTGCGCACAGCAATGCCCCACAAACATCTGTGGAGTGAATGACCAATTTTATTTGGGGATTGTTGGCCAGGACACTGGGAGAAACTCCCTTCTCTTTTCCAATTTCTTTAACACCCACTTGAACAGGCAGATAGGGCCTCGGTTTAATGTCTCATCCAAAGAACATCACCTCCAACAATGCAGCCCACCCCCAGCACTGCACTAGAGTGTCAGCTTCTTAAACTATATGATTTTGAAGTGACAAAGTAGGTCTTGAACCCACAGCCTTGACTTGAAGCCATGACACTATTCTGGGCGCAATTTCGCTGGCACATTTGCCTACAAATACATAATCACTTAATTTCAGAGGAAAATCCTGTGAAGTGCTATGAGACACCCTTTCAAAGTGATCACGTGCTATACCAAATGCAAGGATTATTATTAAACATAACCTTTAAGAATCATGCAGTATTCCTTTGTTTAAATTGTGTAACTGCATTACTCAATTTCACTATATTTTAGCTACATTTCAAACTTTAAATAGGCAATTTAAAAATTCATCAAATTTTAAAACAATAATACACTTTTATCAATAAAGTATATATGTAAGAATAATCATTATATCCAGAGTGAACAATGAAAGTGAAAAAAATAAGTGAATTAAAATGCACATAACTTAATAGCAATGAGCAAAATAGTGATAATCTGAAATGGGAATAATATATGCATCAAATTAACTTTTATGTATTAAAATCAAAATACAAGACATCAACTCAGCAAGTTAATGGAGTTTATGGAATTACAAGGCACCAAGTAGTGGGCAGGTGCTAACTCCTGGTGGGTGCCGTTTGGCCAAGTGTTTTGGTAGCCCAGCACAAGGGATAGTTCGGTAAATGGGTGTGTGTAGGGAAACTGGTATCAGAGCTGTGGGTATTTGGTGTGGACATAGTTCACGCCACATCGGGCTGCCAGTTGGACCACCCTGATCTAAGCCAATAGCCAGTGCAGCTCTAAATACTGTATTATTGGAAGTATATCCTTCAGATGAGACATTAAATCGAAGTCCCAGCTGCCTGTTAGGGATCTTTAATATCCATCCAAATTGAGTAATACAGTTACACATCCTCTCCAAAACTACAACATTCCCTCAGCATTGCACTGAAATCTCAGCATAGACTGTGAACTTAGATTTACAACACAGGACTTGAACCCACAACTTTCTGATCCACAGATGAGAATGATATCAATAGAGCGAAGCTGACACCTATATTAAATAAAAAGTAGTTATACAGTTGTAGTTCGTATGAAATAAGAGCTTCTATAGAAATTCCTTAATACTGTATGAGGAAAATTAAGAAAAAATCAAATTGTAACATATTTCTTTAAAAAATGTTAAAACCTGCAAACTAAATTCAAGTATGAGCAGACTTCTACACTGCTAAAAATCAATATACCGATTGATTTTTTCATTGATCCAAACTGAAAGATGATTTATGGTATAGGTTGTTAAAATATCAATAGTTTCTTAACATCAACATCCAAATGTCATATTCTGATGTGAAAGGTGCTATACAAATGTAATTTGTTGTTGATATACATTTTGTATTGTTTAGTATCATTTTGTTCTCCTTGAAAATAGTAAATATGCAAAGGAAAACCTCTGTACCTAATACATTACTTGTTTTGCCCAAATTGTCTGCATTACATAAGATCTCAAACAAATGTTTTTAAACAAAATGACCGCAATTTAAAAACATTGGATTATAGTTTGTGGTTTACATTTTGGGAATCTCTGGGCACCACGTTCAAACAAGACTACCCAAAAAATGGATGGCGAATGCTACATTGATTTAACATTTGTAATAATAATAAACACTTTGATATTAATGTAAAGACCAACTGATATGAACATTGACCAACAAAAGTGGAAAAAAAATAGAATGACCATAATCTGGGACTCACAAATACATATAGATAGAATAGTAGTCTGGAACAAACCAGATAGTAACATAAAGAACCAAATAGATTGTATATGTAGTATTACTGATGTGGCTATCCCAAGTGATTATAATGTAAGAAATAAGGAACTAGAGAAAATCGGAAAATATATTGATATACAAATTGAATGAGGACATATGTGCCAGTATAAAACACACATAGTTCCTGTAATCATTGGTGCACCAAGGACTGTTTGTACGACTGTTCAGAAATGGTTTAACAAAATAACAACCTTCTGCAAAAAGTAGCCATTTTTGGAAGTACAAACATACTAAGAAAAGTAACATTGAAGATCGCTTTTCTGGGGTTAATAATCCCACCAATAAATAAATAAAATCAATTTAATTAGTTGGTATTGCCCACAAAATAGTCAATTTATTTACAGTATAAACAAAATGCAAAATACTGCAGATGCCAGAAATCTGAAACAAAAACAGAAGTCACTGGGAACACTCAGCTGGTCAGGCGGCATCTACGGAGAAATGAAAGTGAGTCAAAGTTTCGAAGAAACATTGGATTGATGGCAAATAAAGTAATGTTCAATTTATATCTGGGGGATTGATGGCTATGACACCAGAAGAATACACAATAACTACACATATAGTATTTAGACAGAACTGCCGAAGGGTTGTGGACACGAAACGTTGATTCACTTTCCTTTCTCCATAGATGCTGCCTAACCTCCTGAGTGTTCCCAGCGACTCCTGTTTTTGTTTCACTTTACAGTATATTCTGTGAAGCGCTTGGAGACATCTCAATGATGTGATGAGGTGCTATATCAAATGCAACGATTATTATTATTACACGTAATGGGGCAATGTTATTGATCTGGATGACCCATTAACGAAAATCACTTACAAACTACCTCCACAGAGTGTAACATAACAATAATAATTGTTGCATTTGATTTCGCACTTTTCGTGTCAGGACATTTTAAAGCACACTTAGAGTGTAGTGACTGTGTATTTTGTGGGCATATGCAGCAGCCAATTTTCGCACAGCGATACTCCACAAGCAGGAACGAGTCAATGACCAATTTTTTTTTGGTGAGGGGGAGCGAATTATCAACCAGGATACCAGGATAATCTCCCTTCTCTTTTCAAACAGTTCCAAAGTGATGCAGTCGTGATGAATTCTTGAAGCAGATGCCTTCCTCCTTACATGAACAGCAGCTCAAGCAATGCAATGAATGTAATTGTCACATCCTGGAGCAAAAAAAAGGGGAGAGTTTTAAAATAAAATAAAATAATAATAACAATAATAATCTTTGCATTTGATATATAGCGCCTTATTGCGTCTTCAAGATACCTTGAAGCGCTACACAGAACGTACTGTAAAGTGGATTTACTTTAATAATAACATTAGTCCTGTAGTTCAGTGGTTAGAGCACTCGCCTTACAAGCGAGACACCTGGGTTCAATTCCAGGCACAGGGCGGAACCTTGGGCAAGTTTCGTTACTCCACACAGAGCCTAATAATAATCCCTCCAAAACCCAAAACAATAATAAATTGGTCATTTTCAATCCACGACTGTTTGTGGGACATTGCTGTGCGCAAATGGCTGACGCGTTTTGCCCACAAATAAACAGCCAATTCACTTCACAGTATATTCTGTGAAGCGCTTCGCGACGTTGAGAAGACGTGAAAAGCGCTATATCAAATGCAGGGATTATTATCTATTACAATAAATAATCTGAGATTATTTGCAAAATTGCTCCTTCCAGCCCCCCCTCACCTCCCCGCCCCCCCAACGCCCCCACACTCTCCTCTTCTCCCCTCTGCTCACTGGGGGGTCAAAAGTAGTGCAGAGAATTGACAGCAAAGGAGAAGTGAATGTTGCTGTGACGGTGAGGAACTACAAGTCCCGGCATGCCCCGCGCCGGCCCAGCAGTGCCCGGATATGGGTGACATGTTTACAAGATGAAGCACAGACAGTGACGGCGGCGAGTGTGAGTAACACAGTCACACACACACTCACACACACTGACAGTCACACACACACACACAGTGACGGCGGGAGTGAGAGTGACTGACACACACACACACACACACACACACGGGGGGGGGGGGCGGGGGCCTGAGTTGAAGGCGGCAGTAACTGCTGCGGCGCTCTCAGCGGCTTTGATACTGGGAACCGGGTACATAAACACACACACACACACCCACTGACACACACACACCCCACACACTGACACACACCCACACACACTCACACACACACTGACACACACACACACCCCACACACTGACACACACCCACACACACTCACACACACACTGACACACACACCCCCACACACACACACACACACACACTGACACACACACCCCCACACACACACACACACCCACACACACACTGACACACACACCCCCACACACACACACACACACACACACACACTGACACACACACACACACACACACACACTGACACACCCCCACACACACACACACACACTGACACACACACACACACACTGACACACCCCCACACACACCTACACACACACACACACCTACACACACACACACACACACCTACACACCCCCACACACACACACTGAACACCACACACTGAACCCCCCCTCCCACACACACACCTACACACACACACTGACACACACACACACACGCTGAACACACATGACACACCCACACTGACACACACACACACACACCCACACTGACACACACACACACACACACACACACTGACACACACACACTGACACACACACACACTGACACACACACACACTGACACACACATACACACACTGACACACACACACTGACACACACACGCACTAACACACACACTGACACACACACACACACTGACACACACACACACACTGACACACACACACCCACACACTGACACACACACACTGACACACACCCACACACACTGACACACACACACTGACACACACACGCACTAACACACACACTGACACACACACACCCGCACACTGACACACACACACTGACACACACACACCCACACACACTGACACCCACCCACACACACACCCACACACACACCCACACACACTGACACCCACCCACACACTGACACATACCCACACACTGACACACACACACACACACACACTGACACTCACCCACACACTACCACACCCACACACACTGACACACACCCACACACACACTGACACCCACACACTGACACACACCCACACACACTGACACACACCCACACACACACTGACACACACCCACACTGACACACACCCACACACACTGACACACACCCACACACACACTAACACACACACACACTGACACACACCTACACACACACACACTGACACACACATACACACACACACTGACACACACACACAGTGACACACGCTCAGTGATTAGAGCACTCACTTTGCAAGTGAGAGACCTGGGTTCAATTCCAGGCAGAGGGCGAAACCTTGGGCAAGTTTCCTTACTCCACACACCTAATAATAATAATTCCTCCAAAAAAACAAAACAATAATAAATTGGTCATTTTCAATCTACGACTGTCTGTGGGACATTGCTGTGTGCAATTGGCTGCCGCGTTCGCCCACAAATATACAGTCAATTCACTTTACAGTATATTCTGTAAAGCGTTTTGAGATGTCTAGAAGACGTGAAAAGCACTATATCAAATGCAAGGATTATTATTACACACACACAGTGATATATACACACACACAATGATACACACACACAGTGATATATACACACACACAGTGATACACACACACATACACATGCACACAAAGTGATACACACACACAGTGATACACACACACACACAGTGATGCACACACGCATACAGTGATATATATACACACACACACACGGTGATACACATACACAGACATACCGTGATACACACACAGTGGTACACACACACGGTGATACACACACATACACAGAGCTGAGCGAGCATACTGACAGCCTGGCTCGGGTCACGGGGAGAGCCCTGCAGTAACCCTCTCTCTGGGGTCTGAGAGACCCAGAGAGACTGGGACACAGATAGACTGTGTGTATGAGAGAGAGAGAGAGAGAGAGAAGTAGGGAGAGAAGTAGTGGAACACACAGAGAGAGAGGGAGAGCAGGCAGATCAGAGACAGACAGACAGAGACTGGGAGAGAGGCAGACAGAGAAACTGGGAGAGACAGAGAGAGGGGAGACAGACAGAAACTGGGAGAGAAACCGATGGAGAGAGTGACAGAGAGAAAGAGAGAGTAGGGAGGGAGAGATAGTGAGTGAGAGATAGTGAGTGAGAGATCGAGGGAGGGCCACTGACAGACAGATGAAGAGAGGGAGAAGGGAGGAATGGGAGACAGGAAAGAACTGTTTTGGTGGGCTGCATGTCTGATACTTGTGGAAACCCATCACCATCCTTAAGAATTTCCAAACCAAACTGAGAATTTCACATCTGTATGTAAATTACACATTTCTACATAGATTTCATATTTGTATGTTAATATGTTAATATTCCTGCACATTCACTCCCTAGAATGTAAATTAGTTAAGCATCCTGTAGATGCAGGTAAGACCCAAGGCTTGGGGCCTACAGAATGTGATCTGGGTACTAAATTAGAGTTTAACCACTAATTCTTCATAGTTGCTATGTAGAGCACTTTCTGGCAAGTTTCCCACTGCTTGTCCAGCCTTGCACCATCCTGTCCATTAGGGTTTTGTCTTGCAGAGTAAATAGGAGCTGAGCTGTGTAGGAAGAATCTCTGGTCCCCATCACTGGTCTGCCCCTTCCAAGTCTTGCCTGGCTGGTGTGTTATCAGCATGGTTCTGGAGTACAGACTGCCTGGGTCAGGGACAGCACTGCTGAGATTGTCACAGAGAATTTACTTAATTTTGATCTTTTGTTGCTTGACACGTCACCTTGGAGCTGTCAGAGACCCAAAGAGACCCTGTTAACCTTGCCCATCCCCATTCCTTTCTCTCTCACCCCCCCCTCCCCCCCAAACACGCACGCACGCACTCCCGGGAGAATAGTGGGGTTGTGACTAGTAGTCATTTGACACATCAAGGACATTTGGAGGAGGAGAAAGAGGGAATATGAAAACGAGTGAGTGGCGGACATGGATCCGCATGGAGTTTTGCCACTTAATGACTGGAACTTGTGTACCTGGGATTTGACGTTATGCACGACTTCCAGAATGCAAATGTGGTGGTGCCATGCATCCCTGCCTGTTGGCATTGCCATGCTCTATGTTAGTAGGTGGCTGTGGCATTCCTGGCTATGAAGGCACCTGCACAATACTTCATTTAATAATAATGACCTTTACATTTAGTATAGCGCCTTTACATCAGAGCAATGTCCCAAAGCGCTTTGCAGGATATACTGTAAAGTGCAGTGACTGTGTTTGTGTGCGCACCGGGTAATCAATTTGCGTACAGGTAGGGCCTACAAACAGCAATTAGGTGATTGATCACTTTTATTTAAGGGTTGGTCGGGCATGATATTGGGAGAAACTCCCTTCTCTTTCTGAATAGTGTCTTGGGGTCTTTTAACATCCACCTGAACAGGCAGACGTCTTGGTTTAACGTCTTACCAGAGGAATGGCACCTCCAACAATGCAGCACACCTCAGCACTGCATTGGAGTGTCAGCTTAGATTGTATGAGTTCCAAGTCCCAATGTGGGTCTCGAACTAACAACCTTCTGACTCTGAGGTGAGATTGCTACAACCTGAATCAGGCTGACATACATTTACGTTCATAAAGTGCCTCTCACGTAGGGAGGATGTCTTAAAGCGCATTTACGATGCTGGACGGACACCCGAGTTGGGGGTGAGAGCGAGGGTTTGGGCTGGAAAAAGATGACAAATCACATATTTTGAGATGTGCTTTGAAACAGGGAAGCAAGTGAGCGAGTCCGGGATGGAGTTCCAGAATATGGGGGCAGAATGGAAGACTGTACTGTCTAAAATGGAATATAATATGTCAAAGACTAGTATCTGTCTCCTTGGTGTTATTTTCATGGAGATGGATCGTTTTTGTAAAAATAAGTTTTCCCGCTCACCTTTTTGGTGGTGCTACACTCAAAATTTCAGTGGTTTGGGTATTTTTCTTTCTTTCTCATTCTCACTCTATCTCTTGTCCTTATCAAAATGTTGCTGCTGATTGTGACCTGCAATTGGCAAACTTTTTTTTGTCAGCTTTTTAAGTCATTGATCCTGTTATTTGGATGACATTTTTTCATGAAATGGTTTCCGTTGTCATTCCACCCGCTTAACATCATGCATGTTATTTTAATGAATATAGGGAAAAGTGTACATTTTTAAAAACGACATGATTTTTTGCTTTCAACTTACATTTGCGAAACTATAGTTTCAGTAAATTAGTATGTATACTCCCAATACTCTCCAAAAACTATAAAGATTTTATCAAATAGTTAAGACTTAATGCAGCACAATTTTAGTTTCAGTAGTTTAGGAATATAATTAATTCATACACTGCTGATAACTCAAGGAATTAAAAGTCTCCCTATTTCTTCGTTTGGTTTGACTTCACCGTGAAATCTGCTTATTATGAACCACAGTCATCATCCTGCCATGGTCAGTGTAGCGTTGTGAAGAGTGGGTATTTTCCTTCCAATTCACTTCATTTGCCCATTGAAATAATTCGAGGCGGTTTGGTGTTATGAAGCGTTATAAAACTGAAAACCTTTTTTCCGTGGGGGCAGTCCTTCTACAATAACCCTGGGTCGTGTGGCTTTGCTAATAGTGCTGGTGCTTACAGTGCTAACTGGACACCTGTTCTCTGGTGCTCACCAGCTGCTCTCACATGCTAAACAATGGTCAACATCTGTGTCTTCAGGTCACTGCTATCGTTTACTGTGCTGCACATGCACACGATGCACAGGAGACACCGCTAACGCCACTTCAGAAGTGATGTCAGCACGGCTTCTTGCTCATGGCAACCTCACCACATGAAAGGCGCTTTATAAATGCAACTTGTTGTTGGCAACTTGGAAGTTGAACATTTTTTCAAGTTTTCTTTTTCACAGCAGAGAGATTGGACCAGACCATTGAGCTATAACAAGCTTATTCTATAAGTAGTGGATGGTGCTACAAATTGTATTCCAGGATAAACTAATTTTCTTGATGATGAACTGGTAAAAATTTACTGAGTGAGGATAGTACTATATACCGGTAGCAATTTCAAGATTATTATAATAATGTATTGTACTATTTTTTTTAAAAAAAGTCAACTGCTGTGTGTAGTCGTTCCAACAGCGTTGCGATTTTGCTTTCCAATTATAAACTGACTTTTATTACAGCCACCTTTGAACCATGGAGGTATTATAGTTTTCTGCAATGAGTGGATCATAATAGCCTCCGAGCTTCAGCTAAAATGTCAGCAAAACTGCCAACAGTCATTAACATTATTATTCCATTTTATTGAGACTATCTAGTTTTTTAAATAAAGTACAGATAATCAATAGTGAGCACAAAGTGGCACACAATCCCAAAAGCTATGGTAATTTAACTAAGTCAGAATAATTCAAGAATGAATTGTGATTAAATGAGGGAATGGATGCAAAACTGTCAGAACAAAAAATAACATTAGCTCCCTCATTTAATAATAATAATCCTTGCATTTGATATAGGACCTTATCACGTCTTCGAGACGTCTCAAAGCGCTTCATATCTGTAAAGTATATCTTGTAGGTGAAACTCGGCAGCCAATTGCGCACAGCAGTATCCCACAAACAGTTGTGGATTGAATGACCAACTTACTACTATTTTTTTTGAAGGAATCATTACCTCCGGAAAAGGTTACCAATCGACTAACAACCGGGTTCCTACTTACTGCTAGGTAAACAGAGGCATGTGTGTGTGGAGTAAGGAAGCTTGCCCAACATTTTGCCCTGCCCGACCAGGAATCAAACCCAGGTCCTCTCGCTTGCGAGGTGAGTGCTCTAACCACTGAGCTACAGGATCCGACAAGGTCGTTTGGTTTACCATCCTGTGAATACTCACTGAGATCTAAAATGTCATCATTTCAAAGAGGATTCTTAATAAGTACTCAGTCACAGGTGGCCTATGCCTTTCAGATAACTGATGTACTTTAGGTAGAACCATAGGAACTAATAATCCTTGCTTTTTATGTAGTGCCTTTCAAGTCAGGAGAACATCTTAAAGTGCTTCACAAGATGTACTGTATTTTGTAGGCGAAATGTCACTCCGCAAGTTGATTGCATTGGAATTACACTCTGAAACATTCTACTTAGAGTAGCATTCCTGCTGATTGATGTGATGTAATTAGTTATAAGAAGACATACCATTTTCAAATTCTGAAGAGGAGGGAGAAAATGTAGGAGGAACAATAAACCACCTGGAGAATACCTTGTATATAACTGACCTGTTAAACTACACATTCTTATGCTATGAGCAAAGTTTACTTCGTAAGTTGCATCAGTAAGATATTTCACGTGATCCTAGTTTTATCAAGCTTGTGTGAATTGCTAAATCAGATAAACAGGGAAAAAGGACAGTATTCCCATCTTTCAATTGCTCAGGGAGATGAAATGGTCATGTAGGAGTCCTTTCAAATTTGTACATTTCATCAAGTTATCAACTAAAATAATCTTTGGAAATATTGCTTGTTTTTTTTCTCCTGACTGCAATTGTAGCAATGCAGAGCTGTTGTATTTTAAGTGTAACTGCTTTTGTAGGAGTTACAATCTCAGTCTTTTCCAAGGAGCCTGCAAAAGTTTACACTGTATTCATATGTCTTAGTCACTTGGGTGTCGCCTGAACAAATTAATATTAAAATTGTTAATGCAATTCACTAACTTTTTATTTTAATATTTTAAACCAGATTTACCACTATTTACAAAAGAGCAGTCTGCAACCAGTGGAGTCGCAATTTTCTGAAATAGAACTTTACATTTCAATATAAACTTTAAACTCTTATTACCCCACAATTAAATTTCTTTCATAATTTGTTTGCATTATTATTATTACTATTAATATTATTTTGCTGTTCAACATTTATATTCTACTAAAATATTCTCTTGGTCACCCAGATGAAGCTAAAGATTAATTTGAAAAGTTTTTTTTCTTTATGTTATCAACCGAGCACAGTTGAAAGCACTCTTTCCTCTGAGTCAAAACGGTTGTGGGTACAAGACCCGCATCAAAATTCATAGTCCGGGCTGAAAGTCTAGTGGAGTGCAAGGGGAACACTGCATTTGTTAGAGTTGCCATCCTTTGGATGAGATCCCATCTAGTTGTTCAGGTGGACATTAAAGACCTCAGTTTGTTTCAGTGTCTTGGCCAACAATCCCCTCGGTAAAAAACTATGGTGATTCATTAGGACTCTGTTGTGTGTAGGATCTTGTTGTGTGTAGGACCCTGTTGTGTGTAGGACCTTGCTGTGTGTAGGACCCTGTTGTGTGTAGGACCCTGTTGTGTGTAGGACCTTGCTGTGGGTAGGACCTTGTTGTGTGTAGGACCTTGTTGTGGGTAGGACCTTGTTGTGGGTAGGACCCTGTTGTGTGTAGGACCTTGTGTGTAGGACCTTGTTGTGGGTAGGACCTTGTTGTGGGTAGGACCCTGTTGTGTGTAGGACCTTGTGTGTAGGACCTTGCTGTGTGTAGGACCCTGTTGTGTGTAGGACCCTGTTGTGTGTAGGACCTTGCTGTGTGTAGGACCTTGCTGTGTGTAGGACCCTGTTGTGTGTAGGACCCTGTTGTGTGTAGGACCCTGTTGTGTGTAGGACCCTGTTGTGTGTAGGACCCTGTTGTGTGTAGGACCCTGTTGTGTGTAGGACCTTGCTGTGTGTAGGACATTGCTGTGTGTGGGACATTGATGTGTGCAAATTGGCTGCCAAGTTTGTCTACAAATATACAGTCACAACATTTCAAGAAAACACTGGAGCACTTTGAGATGTTTTGATGTGATATCAACAAATACAAGAACTATTATACTGTTTCTAATAAATCTGTAAATGTGTTGTTTTTATTGTGCCTTACCTAATGAGTAAGGGTGGGAAGGTTGGTTGTTTCTTCTGCCGCTTCTTTCTTCCCCCCATACTTGTTTTCATTTGACTTTGAAGTGACAGAGACCAAAGTACACAAAGAAATATCATTGCTTCTAATGGTGGTTTTACAAGATGTAGAAAAGTAGCAATGGGCCAAGTTCCTGTGATGCTATTTTCCTCCAATATATTTGAAACCTAGAAATCTTCTGCCTGGAAGGTGGTCATTTAGTCCGTGGGGTCTGTGCACTGTTAACTGTTTTTTTTAAGTTATTTTTTATTGATCCCAATTTTGCTGCTCTCTACCCATATCCTTTGAGCACAGACAAACATGACAGAATATCTAATTTGTTGTGTACGTGGAATAAGGGAGCTTTTCTGGGAATGAAGCTTGAGTTGAAACTTGTGTAAATGTTTTTCCAAAGAAAAGTGTACTTTTATTTCAGGTATTACTTTGACCTTGTTTTTCTGCTTCTTCCACACAGGGAAGAGCCCTTTTGCACTTGATCAAGAAGAAAAGTACAGCACTGAGGCAAATCAAGATTACAGCTGCTGCTGTGAACACCCAAAATAACCTCAATGTTTCCCATGATAACAATTTTGAGCATGTTTTACTACATTTGCCTTCGGCGTAGAGCCAGATCTGGTACAAGAGGAGAAGCAATGAACAGTCGTCGAGCTATTGAATCAAACAACCGCTCTTTGCCTCTCAGGGTTGAAGTAGTGCAGCATGCCAAAGAGGTGGTGGATTTTAGCTCTCAGTACGGCAGTGAGAACAGCTTGTCCTATACCATGTGGAACTTGTCCGGGCTGCCCAACGTCTACCCGAGTTCTGGAGACTTCACACAGACTGCTGTGTTTCGGACGTATGGAAAGTGGTGGGAAAAGTGCCCAAGTTCGCCTGGGCCATTCAGAAGGAACCCTGAAAGTTTTCAGAGCCAAGAATACGTTGAGCTGGCATTTGAGGAAGCTGTTTACCCCACAGCTGTTGATGTTTTGGAGACATACCACCCTGGGGCTGTTGTTAGGATCCTGGCTTGTTCAGCAAATCCATATTCCCAGACTCCTGCATCAGAAATTAGGTAAACACGGCTTTAGAACATCTGCTATTGATGAGAGCTAATATGGTTTCCAGGTACAAAGTAGAAAACAATCTGTAATCTATCTTATTTTCAATAATAGCATACTCATATTAACGTAATAGTGTTGCTTGCACAAATACAACAATAACTTTGGAAAGATTTCTTTTAGAAAATAATATCTTGGGATACAGTATATAGTTTGGGACATGACATGTGCATGCCATATTCTGCCAAACTAGATACTGCCAGGATGGTGGAAGGCAAACTGTGGTCCTTTTTCTTCTTTTGTCTAGCAATTTTTATTTTGTTAACTTGCATTTACCTTCATTCAGCATATTTATCCTTCATTCAGCATATTGTCTGTGGGGCTGTTGATTTTGGTATTGCATCTAATACTTGAAAGATCCCGATCTGCCAGACGTCCAGTGTCAGAAATAGATTACTGGGTTCAGTAGTTTGATAGTAATCCACTGGAACAAAATCAACCCGTGGGATCTATCGTTGTGTCCAGATTTGGAATCTTAGCAAAATATAGAATTTCTATGGCGCTGCTTTTTGGGGAGGGGAAGAAAGTGACTGTTTTTAAGGAAAGGTGGTACTGGGAAGTATCTTAAAATCTGTATGCCTGTTGAGAGAAAGCAAAGGAATTGAATGAAATTTTGGAGTTCTGCATTTCCTGATTCTGGGATATTGTGTGTGTGCTGGGAGAGGAATTTCTACGATACGGACACTTCAATTTTCAGTCACTGGGGTTTGGGATAGCAGAAAGAAAGTCGCTGTCAAGACAGTTTTCAACCAGTGAAGTAAATGTTGCCCTCTTACTCTGAATGGATGATGGGAGCTGGAAGAAAAGTGAGCTAAGAAAATGATTTAAACTTTTAAAGATCAAATGTAGAGAAAGGAATAAATGTTAATAAAGGTGGAACAAAATTGATCAGAAGAGAATACAGTATATAAAAAGGACAATAGGATGAGTGAGTAGTGAAAATATTTAAAATATTTTATTATATGTTTTAAGTGGTTTAGAGTTGGCATTACAATATAGCCCTCTTGGTGTTCAGTAATGTTACTTTTTTCCAGTGTTGTGGTGCTTGAGCTCAAAAGCCAATCTGCTCTCAGAGGCAGGAGTTTTGAAACACAGCGTTCTTAAGGGTTAAGGAGCGTGCTGATCCTGATCCCTGTGTGCTACGCATTAATGCAAGGTTCCTGAGAGCTGTCCTTGAGCAACGTGCTGCTTGGAATTAAATTGTGGCCTATAAGCAATTAAGTACTAAGGAATGCTACTTTGCGCATTTCACTCCTGTGGTTTTGCACTTGGATCTGATGATAAATCTCATGAATTTATTATCAATATTTACCTACATGGTTAGTGACAATTGTGGTGATTTTTGTCATCGGTCTCGCCTAAATTTTCTGTTGCTGCTTTTATAGTGGGTTCATGCCCCACACTGCAATTTTGAAATTATAGTTTAGGCTGACACTCCACTGCAGTCCCCACTGGAGTGTTGCATTATCAGGGATGCTATCCTCCAGATGAAATCCCATAACATTATTTGAAAAGAGAAGGCAGTTTTTCCTGATGTCCTTGGCATGAACTCCTCAACCCCCAAAAATGGTCATTCACTTCATAACTATTTATAGGAAATTGCTGGTGTATAAATTGGCTGCCGCATTCACGAACAATCTGAGCTTAGCAATGCTCACAAACAGCAATGAAGTGATTGACTTTTTTTAATTTGGAAGACAATTAGCCAGGACATTGGGAGAAATATTCTTCTCTTTTTGAAAAGTGCCATGGGATCTTTAACATCCAACTGAACAGGCAAATGGGATCTCAGGTTAACGTCTCATCAGTATTGCCGTATCAGCCTAGACTATGAGTTCAAAGTCCCGTTCTGGTGCTTGAATCTACAACTTTATGACTTGGAGGTGAGTGCTACCAATTGAGTCAGGCTGACACCTATCAGATTATATATCAGATGCAAGGATTATTATTGTACACCATTTATTTCCATTTTAGCACCGATATAGATTACCATACACTATTCATTTCATTCAGTAACTTCTTTCTTGAAATTTCTCCAGTCCAACACAATTTAGAGATTTTTTTCTCCTGTGCTCTCCTGAAAATGCTTTTTTTAAGTTCCTTGTTTACATATCCAGTTTATGTACTTTATTTACAAAAAGTGTTTGAGAGTGGAGAACTATGGTTTATATTGTCTTTCATTATAGACTGATAACTTGCCAACTATAGGTTATTAACTAGAGAGATAGTAAAGGGAATTTGGATGGATGGTAGATGGTCTGCTCCTGTCTGCATGTATTACTACTGTATAATATAACCCTAAGCCTGGGTTCAATAATCAGTAAATAATAATATTCATAATTTTGGGGGCATATTCCACAATCTGACACCAATAAATTTCCATTGACTGAAAATCAACGCCCGTTTGCTTGTAGTAAATGACTTGCTAATGGATATTTGAAATTAGAGCTTTTATTGAGGCAGCAGAGGTGGCCCTGTGCTTGTTGTATCACCGTTTTGTGTTCTCCAAGTGTGACATAGGAACAGGAGTAGGCCATTCAGCTCATCGAGCCTGTTCCGCCATTTAATTAGATCATGGCTGATCTATATCTTTACTAGAATTTCAATTCCAATTTCCCGCTTTCTCTCCGTATCCCTTAATATCCTGACCTACCAAAAATCTGTCAATCTCTTTCTCGAAGGTGTGGATGGATCCAGCATCCACGACCTTTTGGGGGAGAGAGTTCCAGATTTCTACCACCCTTTGAGTGAAAAATGCTTCCTAATTTCATTCTTAACTGGTCTGGTTCTAATTTTAAGACGATGCCCCTTGTTTTGCATTCCCCAACATAGGAAATAGCTTTTCTGCATCTACCCTATCAAATCCCTTTATCATCCTAAAAACCTCTATCAAATCACCCCTCAATCTTCTAAACTCGAGGGAATACGCAGCCTTTCCTCGTAACTTAACCCTTTTTGGTCTGGTAACATTTTGGTGAACCTGTGCTACACCCCCTCCAAGGCCAATACATCTTTCCTGTGTGGTGTCCAAAACTGAACGCAGTACTCCAGGTGACAAGTGTTGTTGAATATACTTTTGAAAAAAATTAATTAAAAATAACCGTCAATAATATTCAACAAATATAACAAAAAAAATTATTTCCATCAACCCTAAATGCATTAATATCTAATTTTTGTGCACTGTTCATCTCGCCATTCCTGTTTATACTAGATGAAATTCAATTTGATAAATAACTTGTAGCATAATACATAGATTAGAAGGAATAATTTACTTAATCTCAGGTTAAGGTAATGATTAAAAATCTGAATGCCATTATTCTTGGTTCAATCTGTACACAGCAATGTTTTTGAAACTAGAAGATTCCAGAATAAGTTAACTGAGATGTAACAAATTTGACTGTGGAGAGGAACAGCTGGAAATAAGTTAAGTCTGCATGACCACAGTGGGAAGCTGAAAAGCTGTAATTAGGTGGTCCTGAACATGAGAGCAGCTTTTTATAAAAATAAAAAAATCTGTCATTTCACTGTCTTACCTGTACAACACTTAATGCTTCATTAACTAAGCGACCTTCTGTATGTCCAAACTGAGGTACATTATAGCTGTTCAGTCTTGCCTGAGACATTGGCAAATAATATGCTTTAAAAGGTTTTTTACAATTGTCTGGACTGTATCAATTTAGTCTTTCTGTACCACAGAGCAGTGATGTGAGACTGGTGGAGGAATGTCAGGATGTATGTGTATTCCCTAAAGAAAAGAATAATTGTTGTGTTTGATAGAGCACCTAAAATATTGAAACGTCTCAAATGGCTTCACAGGCAATTGGTCTTAAGTGTAGAGTGTGTGTTCATGCTTGGCAAGGCCCACAAAAAGCCAAAGTTCAGTGGTTGTGACAGAGCAGCACATATCAGGAGCAGGTCACACACATCCAGAAATGTGAGGACATCTCAATGATCAATGTGCAAGGAAACTTCTCTGTCAGACAACAGCCACAACAATTTACAGTTAGATCACAAGATTGGTCTGGATGAAGAAGGCATTTATACCTTCTTCACTCGGTTTCTCATCCCTCCAGAATACCCACGACTGTCCTCTCACACAGTGTCAAGCTATCCTAGCTCCTTCACAGTCAGGACATTTCAAAGCGCTTCATGCAGCTGACTGAGCTGTGGTGAGGGTTGGGGGTCAAAAGGATAGGATGGGATAGGCTTTGAAAGCGAGGCGGGAGGGTGCAAGATGAAAGGATTCCAGTATAGAGTTCCACTGAGGAGGGACAGCGTGTCTAGAAGTTTGACCTGATCACTTAAAGCTATTTTCAACCAGTAATATATCTTTGTGATGGTTTCGCTGCAGTGAAGGAAGCAGGTTCCTTTCTGTTCCAAGGTTCAACACTGGAGCTCGAGCCCCAGATGGTTTGTTGATTTTCTGGATAATGGAATCTGTGGACTTTTACTGCTATTTAAAAATAGAGATAAACAAGTTCTCAGGGTGTTGGCCTTTTGACATGACTTCCAGGCAGATACACTTCTCCCGAAGTATCTTCATGGGGAAATGTGCACAGTATATGGAAGAAAATGAATGCTGGAAAAACAACAATAACTTGCATTTGTATAGCGCCTTCCGCACCAGGTGAAGTCCCAGAACGCTTACTACTGGCAGAGCCCGATGTCGAACCAGGGGGAGGGGGAAGGTGACCATAGGCACAGTGAAGAGGAAGGTTTTCAGGGGCAACCTGAAAATGGGCAAAGAGAGGGCAAGATGAAGGGATTGAGGGAGGGAGTTCCATAGCTTCTGGGTGTCGTGGCTGAAGGCATGGCCGCTGATGGTGGAGCAGAGGATTCGAGGGACAAGGAGGAGGCTAGAACCAATAGAGCAGAGGCAGCGGGAAGTGCTTTGAGGAGAGAGGAGGTTGGAGAGATAGGGCGGTGCCAAGATGTGGAGGGATTTAAACGCTAGAACTGTGTTTAAAACTAAATTGCTCACCAATATTATAACAATTCTCGTCCTAAGTCAAGTGAATAAAAAAATCACTTCCTATAAATGCTCGCGTAGGATTTGTTTAATGCAAATCCTGTTCTTATTTAAATATTAAAGCAGCTGTTGAGACACAGGAAAGAGAGTTATGCTCCGATGAAGGATTATGAAGAGAACTTTGGATAAGAGACAGTTCTGGCAAAATAAAATGCATATAATACATTATTTTGAAATGATTTGATTTATAAAGACTGAGTTTCTCTCTGAATGAGATTTAACAGTAATACCATAGCATAGTTTGGATTGATCATTTGACATGATTAAAGAAGTTGCTTGTTACATATTTAAAAGCATCATTTAATTTAGTTTTTATTTGAGCTTTAGCTTAAAGTACCCATGAAATCAATTCAGAAGGTTGTATAGAAAGGTATTTAATCTTGAAAATGCTGTTACAGTATTAGTAAATACTCCATGTTAACTGATTGAGACTTCTTTAGCTTTGACACCATTATTTTTCTGTGTGCCTACAGGTGGGAGACTCTGTGGTCAGGGGATCCTGTAAAAGTGAATGTTTCACAGGCTCGCCAATTTACACCATGCATTAAACAAATTAACTTCCGTACAAACTTGATTCGCTTGGAACTGAACAGTTCTCTCCTGGACTACTATGCTGAACTGGATGCTGTTGTATTACACGGTGTTAAGGACAAGCCCTTGCTTCCTCTACGCAAGCCATCTATGTTAGATCTGGAAGTCGACGATGACCAAGATTTAGAGCTCTTGAATGGACAGTTCAGTGAGATAAGCCTGGCTGAATGCACCAAGAATGGTTACTTCGATAATTTACCTTATGAGGTAAGAAGTTTAATACTGTGCATGCAGAATAGTTTAATCTTCAAGACAAGACTGTCTTCTTCGACCGTGCCTTTGGTCATCCTTCCATTTCCACCTCTCGTATCCTCCATCCCTCTTGATTCCTGGAGTCCTGTAGCTCAGTGGTTAGAGCACTCGCCTCGCAAGCGAGAAACCTGGGTTCAATTCCCGGCAGAGCAAAACGTTGGGCAAGTTTCCTTCCTCCACATGCCTCTGTTTACCTAGCAGTAAGTGGAAACCCGGTTGTTAGTCGATTGGTGGATGGCTTTTCCAGGTTTAATAATTCCTTTAAAAAACAATAATAAATTGGTCACTCAATCCACAACTGTTTGTGGGACACTGCTGTGTGCAATTGGCTGCCGCGTTTCGCTCACAAAATATACAGTCAATTCATTTTACAGTATATTCTATGAAGAGCTTTGAGACATCTCAAAGACATGATAAGGCACTATATCAAATGCAAGGATTAATATTTATTATTATTCTTCCAACCCCAAGCTCGGATGCAAACTCTTGACTGTCCAGTGCCTTGGGATATCATCCTGACATGAAAGGCGGTATATAAATGCAATTAAATGTTAATATTTGGTGTCTGGAGTATTATATTTTTATTATATTTTTTGTTTTTGCTCGCCCCATTACTTTGGCCATGAAAGTGTGTGCCTCCAACTAATTGAGCTCTGCACCCCACTACTATAAAATGCTGTTCGCAATCTGGGTTGACTCTTTTCATTAAAGAGAAGCAGTTTGTTTTGTTTTTGATCCTTCTCCTTATCTCTTTGGAGTTCAGTAACATAATGGGCATCATGGCCACTATGCATTGGATCACTTATCACCTGCTTAAGGGTTTGAGTTGCATTCCAGAGGTTTGATTCTACTATTCTGGCGTTTAATAACTACTGCGTAAAGTACAAGTTCATCCAGGTCCTATCATGTTTTTGAAGCTTTTATATATCTGTCCCATAAAACCTGACACATAGTATTAATGTGCGTATTATAAACTCCATATAAAGGTTACCCTGTATTTTATTTTTCTTTTCTCTGGTAAATAAATGTCCATGGATTGGAAACTGCTGCGTTGTTGTATAAATTGCTAAAATTGCACTCGGTACTTACATTGGCCCTCTAGGAGACCAGTTGTCTTACTTAGAAAAGTTACTTATCTGATCACACCCAAATCATAAACCTGAATCTTTTCATAAAATAGATGACTTTGAAACTTTCATTGACAAAAAGTGCTGCCACTCCAATAACAAAATGGATATGGACATTCTTCAATCTTGCTTGTTCTATTAAAGCAGGTGTAGAAAAAAACAAGCTGTATTGTGGATTGTCTATTATTAATTCTTTCATTTGATATAGCACCTTTCTTATTGGGAGGATGACTCTAAGTGCTGTAATACAGTGACTATTTTTGTAGTTAGCCAATTTAAACACAGCAGGGCCCCACAGATAGCCATGTAGTGAATGACCAATTTTATCAGAGGGTTTATAACCAGACACTAGGAGAAATGCTCTACTCTTTTCAAGTAGTACCATGGGCTCTTTAACTTCCACCTGAACATGCAGACAGCACTTTGGTTTAACGATTTATCCAAAGGACGGCACCTCCAACATTGTCCCCAAGTTGTAGTTCAGCATGAAAACTTGGCTTACTTTTAGAATTCTAATAATAATCTTTGCATTTGATATAGTGCCTTATCACGTCTTCGAGACGTCTCAAAGCTCTTGAACAATTATGGAACAATTGCAGCTCTAAACGGCCATTTGGCTTACTAAAGCTGTCTGCTTTAATCCCATTCTCCTGCTCTTTCCCCACACAGTTTAATTTTGCTTTTCTTCAAGCATTTATCAGATTCCTTTTTAAATGCTGTTATGGGTTTGGCTTCAACAATGATTTGTGGTAAAGCATTCCATATTCAAACAACATTCTTTGTGCAATGAAAATATTTTAGTTTTATTTATAACTTCTGCATACATTTGTGAACTCTTGGAATCTATATACTAAGATGTTGACCAATTACTTAAGGCCACCTTGACAACCTGTTCTACTGAGAAGGACTTCTTTTTGACCCTAAGATTGAAACGACCCTCTGGTGTGCAAAGAAAAAAAAACACTATCAAGTCATAGACAATCTTTCAGAGGAAAATCCAGTGAAGAGATAGCCCAGAATAAAATTTCATCACCAGCATTTTAAAAATAGTTGCAGAGTTTGATCTCTGGAAACTAAACCCTGCTTTGGCGACAGAGATCATTCCAAATTTTAGAACTTGAACTATGAATTTTGAAAGAACCATTTTTAATGTTACTAAAGAGCCAATTGCGATCCTGTTTCATTATACTGTAGATACAAAAAATGAATCTGCATTTGGGGTAGGTAGTGGATCTTTGTTGTGTGTATTTGATGGGTTTGTACAGACCTTAGCTACTCTGTGGTTGGCCCAATGCAATATTCGAGCAGGAACAGTTACTTCCTGCAAAATAATCTGTACTTCAGTCCAATTACTGCATTTTTTGCAATGTGTTTTACGGAACTGCCATTTTCTATTAAATGTAATTTAAAATCCAAGTCAATCTACTTGACTCAGAACAATCAAACAATGCATGTGTCCTTGCAGAGGCACAGCTGTATTCCAGCTTTGCAGTTAAAATATGCTATGAAGTACAAATTATTTTTATTGTGGGTGTGATTTACACGTTAATCAAACACAAATTACGAAACTTCAACATACTGGTGTATTTTTTCTGGGAATAACAAGGATTTTGCTTTTATACCTACATACATTATGAGATGTTTCACCCTTTTTTTTGTATCACCACTCTTAAATGTATATATGCAATAATATCTGAAAACCCTCTGCAGTAAAGTCTAATTTATTCCTGTAGTTTGTCTGCAGTATTAATGTGTGGTATCAGTTCTACCACAAGAGCATCAATATTGTAATTGAGGTTTAAAAATGCTTGTCTAAATAAATAAGCTTGTATTTCTTGCTTTTTTTCCCTGTAGAAATATCATGGTACACAAATAAGCAAAATACACATAACTACTTGTAGAGAACTGGTCATTAGAAATAAAAGAGACAAATCAAATTGATCCCATAGAAATCTATTTGGAGCCATCACTTTAATTGTACTCTGGGGAAAGAGGCCTGGCCACTGTTGGTCACTTGTGGCTTAGGATAGAAGGTTATACTGGTTAGGATTTGCTATTGCAGAGCAATATTTTTATTAATGAGCCCAGTAGTTCGTTTCATCTGGGAGTAACCCTCCTGACTCTTTAAATACAGCAGCATGGTCAATTACAAAGGCAAAGTACATATTTAATTAAAAATAGCAGACTTTATTGCCCAAACCCACAATCTTAACTAGTTCGGTCTTTCACTTTCCATATATTCCAGCATGTCGTCATATTGAAGTATTTTAAGTAGCTGTTTGTGCCGTCAATAGTATGAGAATAGAACTGTGAAAATGGCTCCAGTTTTTATTTCTGAGCATTTGAAATATAAGAAAGAATTTTTTAAAAAAGAATTAGGGTTGTATGAACACACTTATTCCAATTTTGTTCATTGATGTACTCTGTTCTCTCCTTTTGTTATTGTTAACAGGGATTTTTGTGCTGCGTTATGCTATATTCCTATTCAGTTTTATAACCCGGTTGAACAGACTACAGTTTTATGACTTAAGATTAGTGGGGTTCCTGTGAAGAAGCAACCTGATTTCCCAAGAGAGCACAGACGTCTGTGCCCAGAATAAGCTGAGATGCTGAAGCTCAGTTATTATGTCGCAATTTAATTCTAGATACTGATGTCCATAATTTTTGTGCCAGCAAGGTTTTATTAGTGGAATAAGTGGACTTGGGAAGATTAAACAACAATGTTCTCTCTGCATCCTACTGCATGATCAGAGATGCTGAATATCTATTAACACATTAGAGTAATTCAAGTAACATAAGATATCATATCTTATCTGGACGATTGTTGTTCCAGGATACCAGGAGAAACGCCCTTCTCTCTTTGAGTAGTATCATAGGATCTTTCCCTAAATGGGCTGATGTGACCTCAAATTATCTCATCCGAAGCATGGCACCACTGGCAATATAATGACCCCCATCTCCTGCAATGGAGCGTTGGCCGAGACAATGAACTCAATGTCCTATTGTGGTGCTTGAACCCACAACCTTTTGACCGAGTCAAGTGTTTACTCCCATTTGAAAACTATGAGAGAAAATGTTTTTAGTAATATAGGCAACTATAGAGTGTGAAACCGTAAAGATGATTAGCTATTTGGGACTGAGTGTAATACTGAAAAAGTGACTCAATATATCAAAAAAAAACAGAACTTCTTAATTTTGAGGATTTTTTTTTAGTGTTGATTAAGACAGTCTGTCAGTAAATAAAAACTTTCCTCTGAATGTATCAGGTGCTGCGGTCATGTTTCACTTGTTCATTTTGGAGCAACTACTGTATACATTATTAGAATATACAGCACAGAAACAGGCCATTCGACCCAACTGGTCTACGCCAGTGTTTATGCTCCACGTGAGTCTCCTCCTGCCTTTCCTCAACTAAGCCTTCAAGCATAACCTTCTATTCCTTTCTCCCTCATGTACCTATCTAACTTTCCCTTAAATACATCTATGCTATTTACCTCAAAACTCCTTTTGGTAGCATGTTCCACATTCCCACTACTCTCTGTGTGAAGAAGTTTCTTCTGACTTCCCTTTTTGATTTATTTGTGACTATTTTATATTGATGGCCCCTGGTTTTGGTCTCTCCCACAAGTGGAAACATCTTCCCTATGTCTACCCTATCAAAATCTTGTTAATCTACTTGAGAAGTTCTGAAATTAATTTATCAATGCTATTATTCAGAATCTACTTGAAAAGTGCCAAAATTTCCTTGTTCTTCTCCCTCTTCCCACAGAGACCAAAAATCAAATGATGAAAGTTTGCTGCATTTTCTGCCTTCCTGATTTCATCTGA